AAAGGAGAAAGGTAATGAAATGGAGATATTGAATGAATAAACATTGCTTTACTCATATCTTTGCAAATCAGACACAAAATGAGAAAAATACAAGAATATAGATATTATTAGAAGGTAGCAGGATGTTATGCATTCTGTATCAACCTCAGGCAATGGTGTTCATCACTTTCATCCATTTCTACCTTGGGAATAAATTATACAAAGCTTACTCTGGTGTTCAATTTATCTGTGGCAGCATTCTTAGATGTACAAAACTTTAGACCTAGAAAACAATGGGCTCTGCAGTTCACTGTGCCACTTACTTACTTGTTAATAGGAGTTATAACCTTGGCAGATAGTAACATTTAAATTCTCAGTTTCCTTATCTGTAAAATGTAAAAAATCAAAGTACTGAGCTTTTTCTCTCATAAAGTTATTATGAGAATTCAATGAGCTAATATAGATAAAGGGTATAACATCAGATGGGTAGCTATTATATTTGAGTCCCTCAACTTACAGACAAGGAATCTAAAGCCTAAAAAGGTATAGGCTTATTTTTGTCCCAAATCACACAACTCCTTTGTGGCAAGGTCAGAACCAAAAGTCAAGTTCCTTGGATTGCAGTATAGTCACTTTTTCAACTACTGCTTGCTATAGAGGATTGTCTTTCTGATGCTGGCCAAAAACTTTAATTGTAAAGTTTCAGGCCCTAACTACAATTATAGCAAAAATTCAAAGATGGGATAACTATGTGTTGACTAATAGGTAAAATTAGGAGGCAAGCAGAAACATTGTACTAAGGGGAATTTGTCCAGGAAGTGTTAGCTACTACTGGCCAAATGCGAAACTCCCCTCCTCCCTCCCACGGTAGGTCTGAAGCCTCAGGGCAGTACATTCTAATCTTGATCATAACTTTATCCTGCAGTCTTAAGAAAACCCAGGACAACCAGCTGAGCAGGAAGAATGTGATAGTTAAGGAATTGGTGACCTCTCTTGTGCTACACTCAGATCCTTTTACTATTTGATCTGAGAAGATTGATTCTGTTGTCCCTTTAAATAATGTTTATAAATAAAAATAACTATAATCATTTTTAGAAGTGGCAGCAATAATATTACTAGATAATAATAATAGAAACAAACATTGATGATAAACGAAACAGAAATCTAGAAATTAGACAAGGCATAAGCTAGTCACTGTCATATAATCCTCTTTATAAGTCACCACCAAGTTAGGAAATCTGAAGTTTCATTGACCTGGCTTTTTGATAGCTAATAAAAGAAATACTGATCAGAATAGTAGTGGGAGGTTATCCTAAATTTACAAATTGAACAGAAAACAAACAAACAAAAAGGTAGAAGGAAATTAAGGAAAATAAAGAAAGATTGTGGCAAATGTAGGGGAAATGTAAGAATTAGACACTTGGGGGGAGAAGAAGGGTGGGGGGCAGGGGGGAGAAGAAGGGAGTGGGGGGGCAGGGGGGAGAAATGGCCCAATCAATGTATGCACATATGAATAAATGAATAAAAAAATAAAATAAATAAAAGAATTAGACACTTGAAAGACAATAGCAAACTTGGATAGTAATTTGAAACGATTTGGTAATATAAAAAACTTCAGGCAAGATGGGAAATTTTGGGGTGGGGGCAGGGGGGAGAAATGACCCAAGCATTGTATGCACATATGAATAATAAAACAATAAAAATTAAAAAAAAAAGGTGGGAAATTTTGGAATGGAAATGAGAAAGGACTTGAGACTATATAGTAAAGACATTTTTTTCCTCTCTCTCTCTCTCTTTTTTTTTTTTTTTTTTTGGCAGTTATTGGGATTTGAGCTTAGGACTTCTTCATGTGAGCTCTACCGCTTGAGCCACACCTTCAGCCAAAACATTTTCTTTCATTTCAACTTTCTTTTTAACACTTTAGAAGAATATTACAAATTAAAACTTTGACATAACTTATAAAATGGGTATTATGGGCTGGGGATGTAGCTAAGTGATAAGAACACTTACACAAAGTCCTGGGTTCAATCCTCAGAACCACAAGAGAGAAGAGAAGAGTTGAGAATAGGCAAGTGAAAAGACAGGAGAAGGAGGAAGAGGAGGAGTAGGGAGGAGGGGAGGGAGGGAAAGAGGTGGGGAGAGAGACTAGGGGAGAGAGGGAGCGGGAAAGATGTTACCATTACTGTTGGTAAAGACAAATCTAAGCACAAAGTGTGCGGGATAAAAATGGAGACAAAACTTTACCACTGCTTGACTTTCAGTGCTCTTGTGTATACAGCCATGAGATAGTTGAGACAAGCAAAATTGTTTTAGGGGAAAATTCTATGGTGTATTTTATTTTTTAAACAAATTGAGGGCACACTGTCAAGGGATGTCTCCCTTTGTCTAAGAAAAGTTAAAAGTGCAATACAAATCAAAATCCAGTTAATTTGGTCCTTATGAAATTGTATAAACCCTGAATTAAGTGAGCAAAACATAAAGAAATGTTCTGATGTTCAGAAATTCTCTTGGAAGTTCAATAACCACAATGAGGTTATTCTTTTTATAAAATCACTGTTTTCATAACTTTAAGATTTTAATAACTAACATCTCCAACCTTATAAGGACCTAGCTGCATCTTTGAAAAAAAAAAAAAACAATCTTAACAGGTAGCTAGAATAACTCACTGGCAGAATATTTAGAATTATCCAAAATTCCTCAAAGACAATACAGATCTGTGACATCAGGGTACAACTATGTACCAAGAAAGGTAAAGTGCTAAAAGCACAAATCTAGAAGATACAAACAGAATTTCAGTTAAATGGAAGGCTTGGTTAGCCATAGTTGGGTAAATCTGAATTGCAGGGTAATCTGATAAAGAGCAAACAGCATGGATTCTAGATGTGTAAACCATGTGTCCCTAATACAATTGGAGTTCCTTGAAAGAGTTAATCAAATAGTGGCTTTAAAAAAAAAAACTAAAGCATATCATTCAAAGGGTTTTTTTGTTTTTTAAAAGTAAAGTTTCTCCTAAGAGAAAATTTAATAACTATTGTGGCTTAAAGATTGATTAACACGTAATAAACCAGAATTAATACTGATATATTCAGAGATTGATACTAAGCTAGTGTAAAAATTTATTACTGACCTTCAAGAATTATATGTGGACATAAAAAATAAAGACTGAAAATTGTCAATTATGTACAACTGTCTACTGTAAAGCCTGAAAGTCTTTGCTAGGATACAATGAAATTTCCTCTTCACAAAGTAAAGGAACAATACTTAAAGTATATTGACAGGCTCAGAGTTAGTAGTTAAAAAAATAAAAAAAAAGATTAGCAAGATTTGCCAGAGTGAGAAAAGGGTAGAATAAGAGAAGGTAAGATGAAGGCTGATAAAATAATGGATGGCAAAGAGAATGCCACCCATTCTTCAAAGGTAAAAGGTGCTTCTCATTGACCTTTTCTTGTAGAAAATAAAGTAGCTTTATGTAGAACTTTATGGTAATAAAAGACAACAAATGTAAAATAAAAGAGGAAACTATTTTATGAGCATCTAATTATTCACTGAACATGCTAACACAGGATGTAAAAAACAAAGCTTAGTGTGACTTCCATACTTCAGAGATATCAAAAATACAGTTTCATAGTAAAATCACTCATGCTAAAAATTAAAATGGAGCACACACTTCATGTTTCAGGGCATTGAGAAGACAAAGTTAGGAAGCAAGTTTCTTTTCCAATTGCTATATTCAAAATGGTTTATGATTTCAACTTTTAAGCATTGCTAATTCCATCCTAGAGTCCAAATTATATGACAGACTCTTTATCCAAAAAAATCTTAACACCTTTTTTTTAGGTATACTTGCCTTTCCTCTTTATCTTTCTAAATAGCAGAATGCAATTCTTCATCTACATCATTTATCCCAGCTTTAAAACACTGCCAAAGAAGTATAGTGAAGAACCACTAACCCTTCATTAACTCGTGTTTGAAAAAGAACTCCACAATGTTTCATTCTCCTGCTTTCTTAAGTAGTCAAAAAATTAAATCCATACAATAATTTGGTTCTGTTCATAGTCCATACATATACCACGAAATGAAAAATCTGAGTTTGGATGCTGAAGTTGATCTGATTTAAGGACATTTTAACCTGTGTGAAAGAGCTATAGCAAGAAATGTCATTTTACAAAAAGAATTTTAGTCAATAAGTAGCATCATTTTATGGAGTAAGAGTAGAATGCCCATTAAAAAGGTACAACCTTCTAAACTCTGGCTGCACTATGGGGAATGAGCAATTGATCTAAAAAGGCTATGGCCCCAGTCAGTTCATAAATTCAACACATAAAGAATGAGTTACAGGCAAAAATCACAGTAAAGCCTAAAAAACTATATCTGAAAAACTTTGTGGGTCAATAAAAAATGTTAAGTTAAAATTTTTAAAACAATAGAATTATGTATGAATAAGACCAAAGGGTTCAGAAGGTAGATTTGCACGTTGTGTCCATTTTGTAATCCAGTCCTCTCCATTTTGGGCTTAGCAATAGGGTGCCACACGTGGTAAAAAGCCAGCCATAGCATTCAAGCTTGACTGAATTTTAAAAGTGATACTGTAATCAAATATGCTCCAAGGGCATTCTAGAATTTCAGGGTGCTGCTAACCATTAAAATCAATCTTCTTAGTGTTCACTTCAAATTTTTAAGAGGATGTAAACTACAATCCTCAGGTCAATTAAATATAAACCCATACATTTACCTATCAAACGTATCATTTGCAAAGAAAGGTTTTATTGTATGTACCCCAAAAGGCTATGCAATAAGTTAAAATAAATAAATGATCTTTTAAAATATAGGCTTTGTGTATTTTTTCTTGGGTATCAAATAAGAATTTGCTTTAGAATACCAATAAGGCAATGTCCTTAAAAGATGGAACAAACAGAAAGCTAAACAGCAGAAGCCCTTGTATGGTATTTGATTTGGGAGACAAAAGAAGAAAGGGATATTTCAAACAGATGGAAAGTGAAATATAATAAAGTTATACTTGCCTGCATTAATTTTCCTTCTGCTGGAGTTATTTCTGCCACACCAGCGAATACACCTTCCAAAGTGAGGTTCAGTTTTCCTGTGGGGTCCATTTTCAAGGGGATCACTCTGATAATAGCTTTCTGCTCTGCTGATCTTTCAGACTCCACCGCTGCTGCCAGTACTAGTCCTGTGCGTCCAAAGCCTGCCTGCAGGGTAGCCATCAGCAGCCAGGGCCAGAGGGCAGCCAGCTGCAGCTGGTGGCCACCTCTCATGCTACCAGCTGCAGCAATGCACTTCGGCCATACATACTGCTTCCACTAGCTAATACCAAACGCAGGTTGTCACATCCAGACAAATGGAGGAAAAGTGAATTTATGCATCAGTTTCAGAAAACCAAGTCATAGCTTTGGTTCTTCCTTTTTCTAAAGTATTTTCCCAAGTACAAGTGGCATTGCTGATTGGGCAGAGAAGAGGATTTTTTTAGCCAACTTCTGCTGCAGGTATGTCATTTTCTCCCATCTTCACTCTGACTAGCAGATTTCACCACTTTTCTTTGAAATTTTCAACTTTGCTTGATATCAAACGTGCATTTGTATTATGTCAGATCACTTGATGTTGGTCTTCCATATGCATCAAGTTGCCGAGGCACTAAGCCCAATGTTGATGAACAAAACAAGACAAAGTAAACAGCTAAGGCCACGCGCCAAAGGTGAGAGTGAATAACTCCAGTTCAGAAAATGAAGAGATGGCCCTTTTTAAGCCATAAAATCTGCCAACTGTAAATGATTAAAGACCACAAGTTTTGTTTTTTGTTTTTTTCAAATAGGGGAAGTGAGGAAATGGTAATTCAAAAAATTCAGGCCACACCTCAAGGGTTGTCCAAAGATGCTACAACACATATTCAGAAAAGTTTCCATGTTAAATTGTTTTTCAGCATAGCCCAAAGTTCTAGGCCCACTGAATTTATATACATTCCATGAACTTAGACATAGTATTATTTTTTTGTGTGTTTAAAGTTGCCTATAACTTAAGTACAAATTTATATATCTTCACATACTTCAGGATAAACCTGAGCATCACCTTTTCCCACTATTATAATTACAATATTTGAAGAGGTTAGCTTTCCAATTATTTTTACAAGTTCAAATTCATATTTCTATCTCCATTTTCTTTTCTTAGGGATTCCAGATTTTACTCTCCAGCTTGAGAACACAAAGTACTTTGATTTCCCATGAGATGCTTTTGGAGACTACTTTATTATCCAGATCTTATAATCTGTAATTTTTTAGATCCATAAGAAAAACAAAAGACTATTCCTAACATGTTTTCAAATTCCTTGAGGAGGTGGGGAAATAAAAGATAGGGGAGTAGGGAGGTGATTAGTCACAGGCTCTAAGTAGAACACCCTGAAAAAATACAATTAAGTCTGAACAGAGTCAGAGTATTTCTGTGCATTTTTAGGCACGAATGGGAATTTGGATTTTTGTATAATAGGATTTTAAAATGTGTACCCTTAAGTAGATATAAATGTACTTCACACACAAAGCCTACTGCGTTCTGGGGTCAGGTTTAAAAATCTTATATAAAGTTCAGAATAAGTGCTGAAAGCCAAGCAACTGAACATGAACCTGTTATACAGATTCTTTTCTTTTGCTGAGGCAGAGGGAAGAAAAAAAAAAGAATTTCAAAAGAAATCTGCAAACCTGTTGTGCTGTCGGGCCCACTGTAGTCCACAGGGTGAAACAAATTCAATTATATTTTTATAGATCCTGTTCAAAGAAAGTTTGAATTGCTTAACCAAGTACAGCTCATTCTTCCACCTTCTTTCTCTGCAACCAAACCAAGTGCCCCACACTACAGGTAGGTGCCGAGAAATTCCGCAGCCTGAAAAAATAATCCACGCAGGTCAAAGGCAGAAACTTACTCCAGGATGAGAGCTACTGTCCCCAGGAACTCTACAAACACTTAAGAGAAGATCCAAAATCATTTCTGAAATCTCCTTTCTAGCAAAAGTTCTTTTTCTCTCCAAACAGCATATTAAATGATCAGATCTTGAAAGTGGAAAGAAGCAAAGTAGCAAATATATCAGCAACAATTCACTACCAGAAACATAGAAAATCCCAGAGGGAGAAGGCAGTGTCTTTGAATCATGGATAGACTTGTAAGGTTCAGAAGGATTCGAGTGCTTCCCTTCCAGAAAGACAGCTCGGGATCAACTCCCCAGAGTAGGAAGCCTGTGGTTTGTAATTGGTGTTCTAAGCTCTGCCTCCCTCCCCTGGGACTGCAATCACGCTCTCTACCTGCTGACAAAGTGAGGGTGGAGCAGCTAAAGGCAACCACCCCCACCTCGCCCCTCCTCCTCCCTGTGCACGCACTCATTTATTTAACCATAAGCGGTCTTTCCCTCTCTCTCAGCTCCTCTACTCCCTCTAGTGAGCCACGGCCCAACTACATTTAATTCTATCCTCAGTACCTTTCTCTGGGTAAGCAAGCTACCACATGTAAATCAGGGTCACTCAAATATAATCTAAGCATATTCTGCACACAACAGAGCATAGAGGGTGATAAGAGGAAATAAACAGAAAAAATAAAGGTATCCAAAAGAGAAAATAATGGACACAGGTTTTGCAAATATAAGTTTCAAAGGGATTTCTGCTCTTTCCGGGTTTTAGTGTCTATAAATGGCACAAAGCCAAAATAAAGTGATCCTGCACTGTAGTACTTACTGATTTATTGCTGCTTATGTCTGCTACCCTGGGAAGGACTCTGTTCATTTCATACATAGCTTTCCTTCAGCTTTTACTCATTTAAATTCAGTAGCTCTGGCTAAACTGTGCCTGTATGGAACTTTCAGATCAGGTTGATGTCAGAGGTCTGGAATCCAACTATAATTTTCTTCTTACATCCTTGGGAGGTGACATAATACTATGGATCAGACCTATGCCCTCAACATAAGAGTGCATGTAAGTCTGTCATTGATACAAGCAAAGGGTAAAATATACTTAACAAGAAGCATAGGCAAAAAGAAAACTAATTTTCAGCTAATTATCACATTCATGAACTATAACCCTTAGAGTAACCTTGCCATTAGAAATAACTCCTAATATTTAAAATTTTTAAATTTATAAGACTGTATTTGACTGTGTTCAGATATTTTTATTTTTGAACTGTTGCCAAATCTTTCAAAATTGCACCAACAGACAACAATGTGAACTGTATACACTTAAAAATGGTTGTGAAGCCTGGCACGGGTGGCTCAGGCCTGTAATCCTAGCTACTCAGAAGGCAGAGATCAGGAGGATCATGGTTCGAAGTCAGCCCAAGCAAATAGTTCACGAGACCCTATCTCGAAAATACCCAGCACAAAAAGGGCTGGCAGAGTGGTTCAAGGTGAAGGCCCTAAGTTCAAGCCCCAGTACTGCAGAAAAAGAGAAAAAAAAAATGGCTGTCATACACCAGTGTCAGTAAGCTCACACCTGTAATCCTAGATACTCAGGAGGCAGAGATCAGGAGGATCGTGGTTGGAAGCCTGCCTGGGAAATAGTTTGTGAGCCCCTATCTTGAAAATACCCCATACAAAAAAGGGCTGGTAGAGTGGCTCAAGTGGTAAAGCACCTGCCTAGCAAGTGTAAGGCCTTGAATTCAAACTTTAGTACTGCCAAAAAAAAATGGTTATGATAACAATTTTGTATTTTTAATACTTCATATACAAATTAAACATTTGATCATTTGTACAATGTGGATAATAACTGCATTGTAGGTTTGTTGTAAAGATTAAATGACATAATGCTTCTGAAAGCAAAAAGTAACTACCTGGATCATTTTCCCCTATAGAAAGTTTTTTTGAAGATAATTTTGGAATTTTATTTATTTTTTTGTTGTTGGTACTAGAGTTTGAACTCAGGGCTTCACACTGGCAAAGCAGGGACTCTTACCACTTGAGCCACTCCGTCAGTCCTAGTTTCAGAATTTTAGCCCTAATAACTAACCTGGAAGAGAGATAAATTCTAAAGTTTTTTTTTTTTTTTTTTTTCAGTACTGGGGAATCAAACCCAGAGCCTCATGTATGTAAGACTAACACTCAACCACTGAGCTACATCCCCAGCCCTAAAATAAATTCTTAATTTAACACTTTTTCTCTTATTTGGACCTTAAGAAAATAAATGTAATATAGACATTTGCAGCTTCTATCTCAAAGTATGGGGAAGAGCTCTAATTCTGTGGAGGGTTAATTTAAAAAATTTGTTTGCTTGGCACTGGTGCTCATACCTGTAATCCTAGCTACTTGGGAGTTTGAGATTGGAAGGCACACGGTTCAAGAGACTCCCATCTCTAAAATAACCAGAGCAAAATGGACTAGAGGTATGGCTTGAGGCCTGCTTTGCAAGTGTGAAGCCCTGAGATCAAACTCCAGACCCAACAAAAAAAAAAAAAAAAAAAAAATTGTTACTGTTAGCTGGGCCTGAAATCGCAGCTACCTGGGATTACAGAGATGGGGAAAATTGTGGTTGAGGCCAGCCCAGGCAAAAAGTCAGCAAGACCCACCTCAACCAACAAACCAGCATTGTGGTGCTTGCCTGTGGTCTCAGCTATGCTGGAGGATCACAGTCCAGGCTGCCCAGGTAAAAATGCAAAGCCCTATTTAAAAAATAATTAAAGCACAAAGGGGCAGAACTTGGCCCAGTGGTAGAGTGCCTGCTTAGCAAGTGTTAGGCCCTGAGTTCAATTAATACCTACAACAAAAAAAACCGTTAGTTTATATTTTTATTTTGTATGCCATATCATCGCACAGCATAATGAAAAAAATACACATTCTTATATACCATTAATATATGCAAAAATATATTTAAGGTTAAAATTTAAAAATAACCTATAAATGAACTCTGCCTCATCTTTTCCTACTTGAAACTTGCAAAGGAATTAACCTAGTAGTTAATATACACACTTAGTTGAAAAAAGATATTACAAGGCTAGGGAATGGCTCAAATGATAGGTTGCCCATCAAGTATAGGACCCTGAGTTCAAACCCTAGTACCACCAAAAAGAAAACAAAAAGGAAGAAATTACAAATGTGATTATCCTCTCTTGAGGAAACTCTGAAATGTGAGGATAATGAATTGGGGAACCTTAAAATACTCAGGATTGAGTCAAACAGCTCTGTGTAATTTAGTTCACTGATACCCTGTGTTTTATTCAGGTCACCAGAACTGACGAGCAAGAGAAATTATTCTTTGGATTTAAAGTTTTGGAGTCATCCTTCGAAGGTTGATATGCCCCAGCACTTCCTCAGAGATGTCATAAAGAAGGCATCACTTTGGGATAGCATACTTCTCAGGCTGGGATTAGAGCTCAAGTGGTAGAGTGCTATGCCTAGCATACACAAGGCCCTGGGTTCAATCGCAGTACTGAGAAAAAAAAACAAAACACCTCTCCTATTTTTTTTTTTTTTTGTGGTTCTGGGAATTGAACTCTAGGCCAGGCAAGCACTATGCCACTGAGCTACATCCCCTACCCCTATCCCCAACCTAATATTACACACAAGACAGATCATTCTTCAGGACTGACTATCCCATCTGGAAAAAACTTTTCCAAAAAACTACTAGTCTGTAAAACACGTCTAAGAGCTGTCCTTAACCTTAATGATATATTAAAAATTCAATCCGTATTCAAGTGCAAATGAAAAAAAAAAGCTCAAAACAATTTTTAAGTCAGATTTTTTTTTTTTTTGGCAGTACTGGGGTTTAAACTCAGGGCCTCACTCTTGCTAGGCAGGTACTGTACCACTTGAGCCATGTCCCCAGCTAAAAATCAGATTTCTTGAAAAATGGAGTACATTCTCTTTTGAACTTTACTGATATTATTAATGGTCATAATTACTGAGTTTTCTATGATCACCAATAAAATAGTAAAAACAAGCAAGACAACAAGTCCAGTTGGAACACTCACTTTATTGTTGAGTGATTGAAATTTATTGGTGCTTAAGGTGCTGAAATACTGAGGTGCTAGTTAGGAACCTTGTTAGTATGTGTCAGACCCTACTGGCTAATTCACATGAAGATTTTACCTCTTGCCATTGATGATAGCTTTAGTTGATAGGTACCAGGCATGTGAGTATAGCAGGAGATCCAGCTCCTTGGGATCCAGCTCCTTGGTCTGGTGTATTCATATATAAAAAAAAGTTTGGAATGCTGATCAAGGCATTTCATTAATTAAGCCTTCAAACCACCAAAACCAAATCTATGCCAAGGTTCTCGCTTGACACGTGTTCCTCAAAAGATATCTCTTACAACATATATAAAGCTAAGAAAGGCACAGTGAAGGGAAGGAATACACCTAGACAGTTTACCAGCTTGTCAACATGACAGAGAAGAGGCAAAGTTCCTTCATTAGGAAATTGGGTCTCTTCCCTCACATACTCTGCCAAAATATACAGCTTGGCCAAAAGATGTAGATATTTTGATAATTTGTTCATCTTTTAAGCCTTGCTAATAAAGATGAATAAACGCACATAACATGGGCATCAACTAGTCTAATCGGATGGACCAGTCAGTCACTTTTCAGTACCTACTTTCACATCTACACTGAGTCACTGCAGACCAATACAGAGCTCACCCTTTTCCAAAAAAGCTAGATTTCTGTTACACTTCTAGGGTTTGACATCATTGGGAAGGGACAATGCAATAAAAGAAATGAACTGTTACATCCACAATGGCTAGCATAGTACTTATGTCATATTACTAAGTGCCATTTCTTTTTCATTAGTTTCATAGTCCTAAGCTTTCCTTTTGTTTCTGCAGTGCTTATTAGGAAAACTAAGGCAGAATCCTAAAGAAAATTCTAGTTAATTTAAAAGACTTTAAATCAGAAAGGTTCTTGCTGTCATTGGATGGGAAAATAAAGGATCAACTGGACATCCAAAATGTCCTCCTCTCCTTAAACAGAGTCCCACAATCCTACTACTCAAATTTAGAACCCTACAGAGGGGACAAGAAAAAATGTTATAGTCTATCCCACTATACAAAATTCAGAAGCTTAAGCCACATATAAACTATTAAAAAAAATCACAGCATAGTTTCTGCTAAATGACAACTAATCAGTTTTCCCCAAAATTTGCACACAATACCTCACATAGGTGAGAATTTGTACTTGTTGAATGTAAAAATCTAAAATAAGAAAACACTGTGTTAAATCTCTTAATGTTTTCTTTTCACACATTGTACATTTCCCCTTCAAAATAAAAATATTACACATGCATCCTTTATCCTTCTATCCTGCAATATTAATAAAAATATAAAGCTTTAAAACCTTTAAATCTACCAGCATTTATAAATGTAATTAAACAAGTTAAATATTTTTCTTTAGAAGACATTTAAGCAAGTGATATTAACAAAACCTTCTTACAATTTATGATAATGTATCATTAAAATTAAAGAAAGATATGAAAATAGAAAAATGCTCCGATTAATATAAAAGAATCAAGGGCTGTTAAAAGTGATGGATGGTCCAAGTCCGGATGCCTTGCTCTTGAAACAGAATGCTGGGTTAGGAAGTAAGAGAATTTCCTGGTTTAATCACTTGGAAAATTAGCTCTTTCCCAGAGTTTCTTCCCTGGAATTCCTGACCCATTTAGACCTGTGATCTTGGTGACCTCACATGTCTTTGTTTCTTACACCATCTTCTCTAAAGGATCACACTGTGACTTGAGACAGATAGACAGAAGTTGTGCTGACCACAGTTTGAGACTGGCACGACAACTCAGCACACACACATTTTGCTTCAGTACCATCAATGCAACAGTTTTTAAATGCTTCTTGACTGTGACAGAAGGCCAGGACTTTTCATTTGAAAGGGATCTGAGCAGCAAAAAAACCATGGCTGCTAGATGTTTAGTAGTTTGTCAAGGTAAATAATCTGAACTGAACAGTTGTAGTAAATACCAAACTTCCAATTTTCAATTAACAAAATTCTCAATTAACAAAACAAAAAATACTTTTTTTTCCTTAACAGAACTGGAAAAATCCTAACAGTGTGTCATGTGCAAGGCTAGTCTGCCTCCAGCTATAGCTAGTGCACAATGTCACATTTGTCATCCATTCCTCACTCTTTTAATTCTTCCTCCTTTGGAAAGTGCTCCTGCTTGCAGGCCACGTCCACCAGCAGATGAAGATCTAGAAAGAAATGATTATTTACTCACTTTTAGCCTCTCAGACTGTAGAGTTCAACAGATAAGTCTTCAGACAAGAAGAACAAGTTATGTATGTCTCACCTATAGAATTGGGTCTCAAATTATATTGTCTCACCAGAATCTCAATTTTAGGGGATTCCTATAACTCTAAAGCACACTGATGCAGCCCAGGTATAAACCCAGAAAGACCAACAAGGTTTAAAGTTTCTCTCCTTTTCAGTGGTATGACCAAGCCTCTTTTCACTTCAGTCACCTTTTACTATAAACTAAAAAGGGAAAGTATGAAAGGAATCAAAATATATACACAAACAAATAAAAACTCACTTCCTCCATGCTAAAACGACAAGTGGGTGGGTTGTGGAAATATGAAAAGGTAATGCCTGTAGAAAAGCAATGTTGAATAATTACTTTTCCAAACTTGATTGCCTCCATAAAAATCCCACTTATTGATTAACACAACTGAACTCTTGCGAAAACGCCCAAGCTGAACTATAAGAAGGCATACCCTTACAGAGATTAAGAGGCAGAGTGGTTCACCAAAAATGAAAAGAAGACTGAGCATGGTGGCTCATGCCTATACTCCCAGCTACTAGGGAGGCAGAGATCAGCAGATTGTAGTTTGAGGCCAGCCTGATAAAAACTTAGCAGTGGTGTTATCCAAGCTATGTAGGAGGCCATAGGTAGGAGGATCATAAATCTAAGACCAGACCCAGACAAAAACAGGAGACCCTTAACTGAAACCCAAAAAGAGGGCTGGAGATATGGGTCAAGTGGTAGAATATCTTCCTAGTTAAGCATGAGGCCCTAAGTTCAAACTCCTGTACCACCAAAAAAAAAAAAAGAATGGAAAGAAGGAAAAAGGTGAGCTTAGGTAGTAGGTTCTGCAATACAAAAAAGCTAAGAGCTTCTCTACAGTTCATTAACAGTGATAACTGTAATATCTCATATATAAATATATATATGTAACATTTTTAAGAAGCTAAAATGAATTATTACAAAGTCATTTAATTAATCCTAAGGAATAAGTAGATAACTGGGAGCTAGAACCTCTAAGCTATTATATGGCTAATAAATAAAGACAGTGGTTTCCATACTTTGCTACACACTGAGTCACTTGGCAAACTTTAAAAAAATACTGATGCCTGGGGCAGGCTCCCTCCTCCAGACATTTTGATTTAATTGGTGTGGAGTGCAACCTAGGTATCAGGGTTTTTGAAAGATCACCAAAAGATGTGGGAGCAACAATTAACATTTTCTAAACATCTCTGCTCCACATCAGGACAAGGACAGGTAATATGATAATAGAAAATATTAAAATAAGATTTTAAGATATGAATCGATCTAGTAGTAATCCTACTTTTAAAGCAGAGTAGAGATTCTTGATAATGACAAAGGTAAAAACTATTAAAGCAACTACAGAGCTCATATGGGGAGGCAGACTGAACAGCAGCAGCAACAAACCTTTTTAAATAACTGGGCTTTAAATTAAAGTAACATTTGACGCATAGCTTCTAAGACAAGAATTTAAACATAATGATTTTATTAAAGTAACTTCCTTCATTAACAAAACTGCCAATCAAGGAGTTAAAAGAGTATAGAAACCAATAAAAATACAAAACATGCACTGGCCTGGTACTTCCAGAGTTTTATATGACCTCACTCAGCAGAGTACCTAGCAGATTCACCAGAGAAGAGAAGTATGTGGAAATCACAGCAGCTGAGTTGGCCTGACAGGTGAAAAGCCTTAAGGGATGAATGCATTGCATGCACTTGTTTGGGAATGTTCATTTGCACTTGAGAGTACCCTCTAGGGTTCTGGGGTTATTACCTTTAATGAAATCTCATCCATAATCCAACAGGTACAAAATGAGAATTCTTTTCTTTAGGAATGACTTGAGTTTTGCTCTTAAGCACTTGGTTTCCCTTAACTTTAAAATTACACATTTCATCAAAATGAAGAGTGTAGCTTCTACAATGAGATTAAGTTCAATAAAGTACATTGTAGAAACTGGCAGAGCATGACTGAACCTAATATTTTGTTTACCTTAGGTACTTCCTTAAGTCAACACATGCTGAAAATGCCTACACAAAGCATGTTGCTGACTGTAACTAACAATCTCCTTCTAACAAAATACCTATTATTGAAGTCACTAAAATTTGGACACCTGATCAACTGTCTTTTATTAAAAAAAAAAAAAAAAAAAAAGCTGGGCTGGGGTGGCATTCAGTGGTAGAGTGCTTGCCTAGTACCCTCAAAGGAAGCCCCAAGTGCAATTCCCAGCACACACACAAAAAAAAGGTCAAAGGAAGCTTGAAGTACATGAAGCCATAAACAACATGTAAATGAACGGGTGTGGCTGTATATTCCAATAAAACTTTATTTATGGATGTTGTTGAAGTCTGAATTTCATATAATTTTCATGTTTCATGAACTATTCTTTTTATTCCCCCAACAATTAAAAAATGTAAAAATCATGCTTACTTTACAATATGTATAAAAAGAGGTCCACAGGACATACTTTACCAATTTCTGTTCTAATAACACACACTCACACACTGGGGGATACAATCAAGAGAAATTTAACCAAAACAGGAAAAAGTCGGACTGAGGGTGTGGCTCAAGCAGTAAAGCACCTGCCTAGCAAACACAAGGTCCCAAGTTCAAACCCCAATATCACCAAAAAAAAAAAAAAAAAGGCAAAAAGAGCCTAGATGTCCACTAGCAGATAAATGGATAAACAAATTGTGATATATATATATATAAAGTGTAATATCATTCAGCCACAAGAAGGAATGAAGTATAATACACATGTTACAATGGGGATGAACTTCAGAAACATGCTAAGTGTAATAAGACAAACACGAAAGGTCACATATTACATGATCTCATTTATATGAAAAATTCAGAATAGGTAAATCCAGAGAGACAAAAGACAGGTTGGTAGTTGTCAGGAGCTGGAGAAAGGAGAGGATGCAGAAAAAATTTCTTAATAAATACAGGGTTTTCTTTTGGGGTGATGAAAATGCTTTGAAATTAGATAGAGGTGAAGGCTGCATATCACTGTGAATGTAGTTTATGCTACTGAATTATTTGCTTTAAAACAGTTAATTTTTTGTTAGTTTTACTTAGAAAAGGAATGTTTTCCTATCAATTTGAAACTACTCTGGACAAAAAGAAGAGGAAAGTGGAAAAAGTCCATAAAACACAATATTCATACTCAAACATATCTCAATTTTCATCATATTACAGAATGGCATCTTTAGAAAGACATACACAATTCTCCATCATGTAAATTCTACTTTCTTATTTTAGCTGGGACACAGGTACATACCACCATACTTGGCTAGAAGGAGTTTTTGTGACATAGTACCTAGGAAGGCAATGTTTGCATGTTGATGGGAATTACATAACATAAAAGATAAAATGTGATTACTGAAGAATAAGTGTTACAGTACTAGGTGCTATGTCTGTGGGTACACAAAAGGGGATGGAATTCTGTACATGAATGTAAGGACTGGCCTTTCTTCCATTGTAGCAGGAAGAAAGAGGACAACTGGAGGGATAACGTAAGAATACGACTAGAGGAAGACTGATACGTGTGTTGGTGGGAGAGACTGAACTTCCTCATTTTGTTGAGTGCAGTGGCATAACTGTAGTCCCAGCTGCTCAGGAGGCTGAGGCAGGAAGTCACTTGAGCCCAGAAATTCAAGACCAATTTGGGCAACCTAGCAAGACACTATCTCAAATAAATACAGTTCTCTTCTTGCTGTCTCTATTTTTTTGATAAAATAAGAAACAAGGCATAGCTATGAATGAAGAACAAGGAGGGGAGTAGGAAGTTACAGCAGAAGAAGATACAATAGAGTGATTTTGAAGATGGGGAATGTATTGACTAGGAACTTTAACAGGATTGCTGCAATACCAAGAGCCCATGTGAATTCAAACAGAAAATAGTTATCTGAAAAGTAATCAGTGGTAATAAACATAATAATAAGTATTATGAAAATAATAGTAAATTATTGTTAAAACTCTATTGCTACCTTATTCTAACTACTGACTATCAGCCAGTTACCACACTAAACCAGTTACATGGTTTATACCATTGTTATTCTCATTTTCACAGATGAGGAAACTGGAACTCTGTAAAGTTGAGTAAATATGGCCAAGGTCACACAGTAAAGAGTAGAATCCACATTTTAACACCAAAAGCTTTCTTTCTACTCATTATGTTGTATTGCTTCTAACAGGTAACATATGAACCTTACACTAACTTTGAGTAAGATCTCTAACTCCCCATGAGTTACACACACACACACACACACACACAGAACCATGTTTTCATGGACCAACTGCTAATTTTACCAGAAAAGAAAAATTTGTTGCAACTTCATGAATTACATTTCTGCTTGCATTTTAATTAAACTAACTTTTTAGCAGAGAGGGTCTAGCTTAATTAAGTCATTTGCAACCTGTCCCAGATAAAATAAAATTGTGATTGGGTATCATAATGATGCCAATATTTCACAAGTGTTATATTCCACATCTGGAAGTCAAGGTCAGTTAAGACTCATTTATCAACATCATTGGCTAAAGAATATGCCTGCTTAGAAAAAGCCAACAGGAAGAATTAATAAAGATGACTAATGTAGCAAAAGGGAGAAAATTATTTCAGTGATAGGCACCAGAGTTCATCTTAAGGAGGTAACTGTCTTTGTGAGAAGCTTGATAGGTTGTTTTGGTTAGGGAAGGTGAGGCCTCCAGGACATCAGAAAACAGAAGTAATACCTGACCTTCTCTGCCCAAATATAAAAAAAGTAATTCAAGGCCTGGGAAGAGAGCAGAAAAAGAGACCAGAGAAGAGGATTGCTGTTAGTACAAAGAAAGAATGCAACATTACAGTAGGCCATAACTACTAGTGACAAGGAAGGTGGCAATGGGTAAAGTGACCTAAGGCCTTTTAAAATGAGGGATGCTATTATTCCATTTTAAATTATTTGCAGTATTTTAAATGTAAACCCATCTACCTTCCCAAACATTCAGAAAGTATGTTACATGTATAAATGTCTAGTGCAAATGCTTGGAGAAGAAACATCAAAGAAAGGGGCTAAGTTCTGCACCTAACGCAGCATGAAACAGAGAACAGCTCTGGGAGATGAGATAGGGACAAGTCTGGAATTATGCAGAAGTAGAAGCTAAAAAATGAAAGCCACTGTGAGCCCTAGAAATTCTCACAAATCCTAAAAGAAGTATTTTGGTATAGGATAAGGTTAGCTTAAGTCAACCCTATTTAAACCTCAAAAGTCAGTTTAATGCCTGGGATATAAATATTTTTAAAAATTTTTGTAACTTGCTTATATCTATTATTTTGAGTCTTTTATATTTGTACTACAGCCAAGTGTTTAAACTGCTTTTTGTATTTTTTTTTCTTTGTGGCACTGGGGCTTGAACTCAGGCCTCATTCTTGCTAGGCAAGTGCTCTATCTACTACTTGAGCCACTCCCCAACCCTTTTCTACTTCAGTTATTTTTCAGGTAGAGTCTTGTGTTTTTGCCAAGAGCCAGCCTCAGACGTATGGCCTCCCACACTGCTGGGATAACAGGCACATGCCACCATGCCCATCTTATCGAAATGGAGTCTTGCTAACTTTTTGCCCAGGCTGGCTGCAAATGACAATCTGCCCAATCTCCACCTCCAAGTATCTGGGATTACAGGCATGAAACACCATACCCAGCCTTTAATATTTAAAATATAGAAAAACATAAAAAGTGAAAATTTTCCATAATCCTATTATTCAATAGATAGATAGACACACAAATCAAGAAGTTAAAAGTATCCCTTTACCCTTCAATTCTATCTTCTCAAAGATAATAAGCATTACATGTATCAGTATTATTACATACTTCCATACTTTTCTACAACTATACAGGGCATACTTTTCTTTTTTTTCTTCCTAGAAAGGGTCTGTGTAGGAGAGCAAGGGGGTAGGTGGCCCAAACAATGTATACACACGTGAGTGATTGTAAAAAGATAAAAAAATAATAAAAAAGAAAAACGGCGTGCAACCAATGTTGGGGTAGCCAACTGCTCATCATCACTAACACAATTATGAACACTTATGTTCACTTATCTTTCTAAGTCACAATATATCAAGCTGCTACATGGTTGCGTAGTATTTCATTACATGAATTTATAATTATCTAGCTTCCAACTATCAGTCATATATGCTTTTTCCAAGTTTTTTGCGATTACAGATAATACTATAGTGAACTTCTTTTGAGAGCATTTGGGAATACACATATTCTACAGGAGTTTCTTAGGAGTTGCATTCTTGAGTCAAAGAGCATAGCATTTTAGTTATACATAGATAATGCCAAGGTGTCCTTTAAAAGGCTATAGAAATTTTCATTACAGTTACAGTTTATAGGAGGTACCTTTCTCCCTGCACTTTTATCAAGGTGGTATCATCGACAGGTAAAGTCTTGTCAATTAGTCTGACAAAAAAATCTGATTGACTTAATTTGCATTTCTCTAGTTAATATAGGGAATGAACATCTGTTTTTCTTTTCCTGGTGCCAGGGACTGAACCCAGGGACTTGTGCATGATAGGCAAGTGTCTATCACTGAACTACACCCCCAGTCTTGAACATCTTTTTATATACTTATTAGTCATTCTTCTTCTGAAGTGTGTACTAATATCATTCTATTTATTTTTATTGGTCTACCTTTTTCTTTATTAATTTAAGGGTTTTAGGTATTATAAATTCAGTGATTTATAATTTTCATTGTAAATGTCTTCTCTTAGGTCATGCAACAGAGATGTCTCCTAATACTAACTCTTTCTTTACATTATGGTATTATTTTAAATAAGCAAATGGCCTTCATCTACAGACTAATTTACAAGCTCTCCTGCAACTAGAACTTGACCCTCTATGACTAAGTTCTAGTTGAAAATATATGAATATATGTGATGACTATGATCACACAAGGAGAGGTTATTTATAGCAGCCTGTTGCCATGTAAGCAGAGAAGTTAGCCATCTTTTTAAATCACACAATACCTAAGTCCTAGTAGAAAGAAGTGACACTGCCCATCAGCTCTGGACACCTTATACTCAGGCTGTATCATGAGGGAAAAATAAGCTTGTATAAGCCACTGGGTTTTTTTATTTTTGTGGTACTAAAACCCAGAGTTTTATCCATGCTAAGCAAGTGCTCTAACACTGAGCTAGATCCCCAGCACCTTTTGTTCTATTTTGTTGTTACAATTGATATCCTAACTTATTATTTTTATAATTAATTTAGCCTAATTTATATCCTAATATGGAATTTGGAATCTAGAAGTGAGGTTCTATTGTAATTCAAATTAAAATTAAAATACGTGGTATTGGGGCTAGGGGCATAGCTCAGTGGTAGAGTACATGCTTATGATGTGCAAGGCCCCAACTTCAATACAAAAAAAAGAGATGGCATTGGCTTAGTCATCTAGTGGCAGGTGGTTAGAACACAGCAGGCTATAATGTTAGCACTCTTTGTTATCTATACAAACATTTGTTTTGTACAGATACATTACCTGTGATACCCTGGAAGGCAGACCACAGAACAAGTGAACATATAACCAGAGAGGAAAAGGGTAATAACACTGTGTTTTCTACTTCTTGACACATTCAGCAAATCCGAGCTCAGGCTTGAGGTACACAGTGTATAAACAGAGATGGAAGATAATATTTCTTTGCCTGTGGTTGACAACCTACTGACTAGGGTTCAGTAGTCTGGGTCATGTATTCAACTGGTTCAGTACCCAAACTTGATGTGGTAGTAAGAAGTGCCTTTAAAGAAAGCCTCAAACTTTTCTTAAGAACTTTTATTTTTTTGTTCTGGTGATCAAGTACCTCTTTCAAAAATCTCTGATGAGCCAGGTGCCAGTGGCTCATGCCTGTATTCCTAGCTACCCACAGGCAGAAATCAGGAAGATCATGGTTTGAACCCAGCCCAAGCAAACAGTTCAAGAAACCCTATCTCAAAGACACCTAGCCATCTAACAAAAAAAGGCTAGCAGAGTGGCTGGAGTGCTAGAGTGCCTTCCTAGCAAGCATGAGGCCCTGAGTTCAAACCTTAGTGCCACCAAAGGGGAAAAAAAGAATCTCTGATGAGACAATGGGAGAGAGTTCTATAGCAAAGATCTAAATAAGGGTGTTGTCTTCCTAAACCAACTCATTCTTTCAGATGACCTCAGTATCAGTGTCATTAGGGAAGGGAGAAAATGGACAAAGCAGAGACAGCAAATCAAAAACCAGATTTTTTAGGCTTAAAATTACCTAAAAGAGATCTTTTAGCTCTCTCTCTTTTTTTAACCACTCTGCCAGCCTGATCTTTAACTTTCAACTAGAATGACCCAAGGCAAGTAAAACAGGTATCTACCAAGGTTTTTTTTTTTTTTTTTTAAGTATTAAAATGCCACAGAATAAGTCTGGTCCATTAAGGTATGTGCTCAGCCCCCAAAATAATCCCCAGACCATTTAGATATATTCCAGTAGGAGGTAGACAAGAAAATCTGGATCACTCAAAAAAAAATGTATACTCCCTGAGAACCACTTCAGATGAGATTATGAAGGAAAATGAACAAGTTAGAGACTTCATGGACAGGAAAGACAGAAGTGATAGTTTCCTGATCTTTAAAACAATGACAATTCTTTCATCATGTTTGTTACATAGCATAAAAACAGGTATATACTAAACATTAGTTCCTGGCCTTCTCTTGTCTAAATTGTCTTCCAGGTGAGAAATTTTAATCTTTGAATATGGATTAGAAAATAAACTGAACTAAAAATGACTGTGCAAGTTAAATTTAGAAAGTGATAAAAACAGTTTTTAGTCTAAAAGTTATTTTGAAGAAAGATTCCCTATGAATCTAAGCACCATTATTTTTTTTTCTAAGTGCCATCTTGATCATATTACTATTAGTTTACTTTTTGGAGAAATTCTCAAAAAAGGTCACAACATTTAAAAAATCTACAGATTAAAATGACTGACCTGATTATTTCCATCTGTATTACAGGCCTCTAAAATTCAAATAATTTAATAATATTAAAATTGTTCACTTCAGACTATAATGACTCAATTTTGCATCATGTAAGGAACATGTGTTAGCCAGCTGTAGTTGCACATGCCTGTCCCAGCACTTGGGAGGCTCAGACAGAAGGATCATGGTTTAAGGCCAGCCTGGTCTACACACCAAGACCATCTCAAAAAAAAAAAAAAAAGCACCATATGTATGTGTACCAAATAGTCCCTTATTCTAGACTCTTACAAACCCAAGAAAAACAATCCCACTGATAGACTCATACTTTATAGTATCTTTATAATGTGCTCAGGATATCTCTAATATCTATCTGATTTTCTCTCATCACAATTTAAAGTATATCCTGTACTCTTGCCCTACACTCTGTTAATAAGAGAACAAGTACATCTATAACTACAAAGTCTTTGCCATCTGAAAACAATTACTAAATTACCCTTCATCTTATCTTCTCCAAGTTAAACTAAATTCCTTCCTTTTCGTTAATATGTTCAATATTTTTGAAAGCTCAAATTCTTATATGCAATATTAGGAAAATAATTACATACTTTATAAGGATAATTAAGAAAAATATAAAGCTAAAATTATAGTTATATAAAAATAACAATGTGATAGGGCATAATAAAATTATGAATAATAAATGAAGGCCTAAAAATTGTTATTCATATATTAATTCTAAAATATTCTATTTCTAGCATTCTAGAGCTGTGAGTTCTACAGCTTAAAACTATATAATCCTTACCAAGAGACTTTCCTTGTTGTGAGTTGCTTCTTCGCTCTCTGTATCTGGCTGGAGTAGATAAACCTACATCTTTACTGGGCTTGCTAGCAGGCCCCATTTCTGAAATGAGGAATCCCATCTGTTCTGAAGGCAAGATATTCTCAGGTGGATTGGTCTGGCATTTTATATTGGTATCCACCTAAAACATTAAACCCACTTATTATTCTGAGATTTTCCCAAAATATCTACCAAAAGTTAAAGTTTATCAGCAGAGTTCTATTACAGGAACATGATCCAACAAACATTTCATCCTTATGAAAACCTTTGCTTTTGTTCAATTATCTAGACATTCAGTAGGTAAGATGTACCCTTCCCCATACTCAAACCACTGAAATGTATATGGAGCTAAAATACTAACTTAGAATCAAAGGAAGATTTTACCATTAGGCTTATAAAAATAAGACATTTTAAACATGATTGGTTAAAACTACTATGTTGTTTCCACTCTAACATATGTTTTATCAGACTTCCCTTTCTAGTTCGTGATAATGGGATGGACATAGACATAATCCTGATGGATGGTGTCAATGCAGCATGAACAATTTTGTATTCTTTGTCTTAAACAGGCAGTCAATATTGTATAAGCTTTAGATGCTATAAAATCTGTATCTGTCGTATTTATAAAATGAGTTTTTTACTTTGGTTTCCAAACTTTTGTTGGAATGTTAAATCTCCTTGTCAAGGTAACCAATTTCTGACATACTCTGTTTTTTCATAAATTTATTTAAATAAAACTATATAAGGAAGGTAAAAATTAAAAACAGCTTTCAAGCGTTATGATGTTCAAATATGTTTATTAAAGAGTAATTTTATGGATGCAATTTTAAAATATGAAATCCAATATTCCATATGTAACTATAGAGGAACAAAGAAAAATTGCTTTCTTTCTTCAGGCATGTTTAAAACACAATGAAACTATCTTTTGTCTACTGAATCTGCATTACCATCTTAAAACGTAATATACCAAGTCTCAGTAGGTTCAAAAAGGATAATGAGTTGATAGAAATCTTTTTTTTTATCGTCTTTACCTTTACTCACATGTGCATACACTGTTTGGGCCATTCCCCCACCTCGGTCCTCCTCTTCCCCCCGCTCCATAGAAATCTTAAGGCATTTGGGCCTGAGTGTAGCTCAGTGGTAGAGTGCTTACCTAGCATACACAAGGCCCTATATTTAATCCCCAGCACCACAACCAAACCAAAAAAACCCAAGATATTTGGATCTAAAATTAGAGCTAAAAACAAGGATGAGGAAAACAAAAAATACCTCCCAAAAGTTATCTTGGGAATCTCTAACAATGAAGAGATTTTCAAGTCCAATTAAAGAAAAAATTCCAAAGTGAAAAATATGTAAGATTTAGAAAAATTAAATCATAAAAGTACTTAATTTAATTCATAAAAAAGTTACTTTAATTTGGATGTACTTTTGATGAATTAGTCTTACTAATTATTTAAAATCAATGTTTATTCATTTTATGGTCATGTACTAACAGCAGTAAAAGAACTGAATTAGCCTTTACCTTAAGAATATGTCCCTCAAACTAGAATCAGTATTCTGCTTAAGGAATGCAAGGAGTAGCAAGAATTTTCTTTTAAATTTTTTTTGGCAGTAGTGGGGTTTGAACTCAGGGCCTCACGCTTGCTAGGTAGGCATGCTAGAGCTTGAGCCACTCCACTAGCAATAATAAGAAACAGAACATGAGATGATCATTACTAGAGCTCAATGATGCTGTAAGAAAGTAGGACCTCCAACACTATCCTTGCCTCCACCTAAAAATGGCTAAGAAAGTCCTCATATCTGTCAAACTATTCTTCTGGGTAGTAGAATTATATAAGCTAGGCATACCTAATCCATCCAAATTAAGATAGGAAGCAAAACTCAAGGGATGTTCTCAATATGAAAATAAGTTTTACACCACAATGCTCAAGCAGATTGCCTCTATCAGTTCACTTCAGACTATAACATAAATGGAGGACGGCTGGGGATAGGTAAGCTCTTTCTGAATCTTTTGTGAAGAACCACAGGGACATGATGCTTTTGGAAAACACAGTGAACTGGTATTAAACCTAAATAAAATCTGGACAAATTCTCCATTAGAAGTCTTTAGCAAGAAGCACTATGTACTTTGAGCTTTATAAGGATTCTTTTGTTTGCCATCTTACCTGATGTGTGCTGAATGGTAGCCCTTCCTGCATAAATACTACTGAAGACGGAGATGGATTATGGCTTAGCTGCTCCTTCAGTTTGACATGAGTTTGTTGGATGGCTGCAGATTCTTGCATTGTGCTATTTTCCACAGGCTGAGCTGTGTGGATGGTATAGATGTACTCAGGTGACTGGGGTAAAGAGCAGGTAATTGCTTGTTCTGTTCCAACCACAAAAGATGTAATATCTGAGCCTACAGGAGTAAGTGGCTCCAGCTGGCTAGCCTGACCCATGGAAGATGGATTGGTGTTGTTTGAATCAGCTAGGATATGTTGGCCTCTGTTAGACTGAGATGTTGAGCACTGATTCTCAACAGGCTCCACCTTTACCATCTCCAATTTAGGGGAGGAATGCAATTCATCTACTATCTGAAAGACAGCCTCTAGGTTTACTTCTGTCTTTTTATTTTCATCAGTAGCACTGCAAGGCCAATTAGAAGGCAGAAATTCAACTGGATAGGAAGACTGCATTGGAGGATTCTGGGAAAAAAGAAAATAGGACTGTTTGGATAGAAAATCAAATATGACATTAAGGAGGACAGCAATAATATTTAGGCTCATGAATGCTAAACATAAATAGATTAAACTTAAAGCTCACTAAGAAAACCTAAGGTTAATCTACTTTTCTATTTTTCAGCAGTGTTATGTTCAAATGTTCTGTCAACATTTACTTAGTAGCTACTCTATGTCAACTACAATGCTAAGTTTAATACTGAAGCAGAGTGATAAATTCTCAGGGTTAAAGTATACAAAATCAAAAAACTGTATTACCCAAATACCTATTTGCTGACAAAATGTCTATATACCAAATCTTCCATAAAGGCTTATAGACAAAAACATCACTTTTATTTATCATATACTGTTCAAGGAATGCAATAAGGAAATGTCAAACACAGGATGCTCACAAGTCCACCAATCCTTCTATAGATTCAGGGGGAGGTACTGATATTCTGTTCCAAATGATCTGGGAGAAAATGGATGGAATATCGAATGTCCTTTGGTTCCTGAGATTATTTTTAATAATAAAGCAATAGACTAGAATAGTTGTTGCTTTTAGATTTCTTTAAGATATAGTCTCTTATATATAGTGCTTTTCACAGAGTAGACATTCAATATATGCTTGATAATCTCAGATTATAAACATAAAATATCAAAAAGCTATTATTAAAACGTATAATGAGTTGATGTCAAAATGTACTACAAGGATTGTTTCAATGAGTTTTAGAAGTTAAATAAGTAATGTAAATTCAAATAGTATAAGCACCAGGCCAGTCAACGGCACCATTTATTGAGTTCTTTCTATATGCCAAGTACATGCAAAGAGGTTTGTAGACATTATTTCCTTTAATCTTTACAAGAGCCCTATGAAATGCAAAAATCTCCATTTCTAGATGATAAAACTTATTTATATCATTTTGCAGTTTTTTTGTTTGATTTCGATTTTTGAGACAAGAGTCTCACAGACCCATGCTTCTCCTGCCTCTCTCTTCCAAGTGTTACAGGCATGTGCTACCACACCCAAGCTAAAACTGACGTTTAAAGGAGCTTCAGAATTCACCGGGCACCAGACACTCATGCCTGTAATCCTAGCTACTCACAACCAGGAGGATTGTGGTTTGAAGCCAGCCCAGGCAAATAGTTCATGAGACCCTATCTAGAAAAAACCCTTCACAAAAAAGGGCTGGTGGAGTGGCTCATGGCAGGCCCTGAGATCAAACACCAGTACTGAAAGAAAAGGAAGAAAAGAAAGAAAAGGAAAGAAGGGAAGGGAAGGGAAGGGAAGGGAAGGGAGGGAGGGAGGGAGGGAGGAAGGAAGGAAGGAAGGAAGAAAGAAAGAAAGAATGAATTTACCTAAAGTGGCAATGAAATAACTGACAGAGTCGGGTTTCAAGTTTACGTTTGCCTGACTCTAGATCTTTTGCTCTTAACCATGACAGTACACTGACCATTCATGCACTTTCTCACCAATATCTACAGTCCAACTAAACTAATTACACTGATTTTTTTTCAGGATGGAATCTGAAATACTTTCACTTTTTTCCATTAAAATTGTTTTTTAGTGGGACTGGGATTTGAACTCAGGGCTTTGTGCTTGCAAAGCAGGTCCTCTACTGCTTGAGCCACACCTCTAGTCCATTTTGCTCTGGTTATTTTGGAGATGAGGGTCTTGTAAAATATGGTGTGGGCTCACACTGTGACTTTCCTTATATCAGCCTCTCAAATAGCTAGGATTACAGGTATGAGCCATTGGTACCCAACTTCCATTTTAAAGTTTTATGTCTGCTTATTTCTATATTCCTAAAATGAACATGTACTGACTTGTATTAAGAAAAGGATCTAATTAAAATGTTTAAAATCATTTGTTTATAACTTGAACACAAGATATAAACACTGTCAGCGTATCTCTAGTATAATCCAGGGGAGAAAGTATCTGCATCTACAAGCAAGAACATCTAATTGTGGGATAGGTATGTCTCTTCAGCGATGATGAACAGACTGGGGTATTATGCTTAATATATCAGTCATGAAAAATGGCCAGGTTAAGTCCCCTTGACCTGATTCTTCAAACAGTCTGATTATCTACTTCTCACAAATATATATGCTAAAAAAAAAAAAAAATGTCCTGGGCTGGGGATGCAGCTCAGTCTTAAAATACTTGCAATCCTAGCAACTTGGGAGGCAGAGATCAGGAGGATCAAGGTTTTAAGCCAATAGTTCTCCAGACCCTATCTCGAAAACACCCAACACAAAAAAAGGACTGGTGGAGTGGCTCAAGTGGTAGAGTGTCCACCTAGCAAGTCTAAGGCACTGAGTTCAAACCCCAGTACCACCAAAAAAAAAAAAAAAAAAAAAAAAAAAAAAAGCTTGCCTAGCATGTGTAAAGCCCTAGTTTCAATTCCCAGAACTACTCATAGACATACATGAAATTCTTAGAACTAAAGCTATGTCAAGTAGACGATTATCCAAGGCAAACAAATAATTTCAATCTGGCAGTTATAGCACAGAAATACAAAGCATGGAATTTAATCTTACCCATGAAATAGCAATATAAAACATTCAAATCAAAGGAACTATTTACTAAGAAATAATGACAAGATATTTGAAATAGTGTTTTTATAACATGCAGGCCAGGGCTAAAGAGGGCCAACACTTAAATTTCTCATTTTACATGACTTTAGAGTTTATCTAGTATTCTGCTCACCATGGAAAAGGCTAGAACTATATAAAATGACTTTCAGCAGTGATGGAAATGCGCTACTCATGCACTACACAATTTTGTGGCCACTAGCCACATTAGACATAATTACTTGAAATGTGCCTTGTGTAACTAAGGAATGAATTTTAAAATTTCACCTAATTTTAAATAATTAAAAAATATTTGCAGTGCTAGGGATCAAAGCCGAGGCCTTGTCCATGCTAGATAAGCACTCTGCCACTAAGCTATATCCCCAGCCCAATAATTCAAATTTAAAAGGTCACATGTGAGCTGCATGTCATGACACATGCTTGTGATCCCAGCACTCAGGAAGTTGAGGCAATAGGATAGCAAGTACAAGGCCAACCTAGACTTGATATAATAGAGTTTGAGGCCAGCTAGAGATATTCAGCAAGACCCTGTCTCAAAAAAAAAAAAAAGTCACATGTGACTCGTGGCTACTATCTCAGACAGTGCTAGCCAGAATAATACTCAGACATCATTCATGTCAATTATCTTTTATGTAGAATAGAGTAGTAAACTGAGCCCATAATATACAGCTTACCTCTGGCTACTAATTAATATAAAATTACACTTTCAAATTTTGCAAGGTCAGATGGAAGCTTGCCTCAAGTGGTAGAGCACCTGCCCAGCAAGCATGAAGCCCTGAGTTCAAACCCCAGTACTGCCACACACACACACAAAAATCCTCAAATAATGAAAGGTTAATAAATTGCACACGAAGCACAGTGTGTCCAAAAATCTTACCTGGAAGTAATTGCAGTGTGCATAGGAAGAGGCAGTGGGAGTGACACAACTACTTAGAGGGTCCATGTGTGTGGAAGGAGAGCAGCACTGTAGCACAGCTGAAATAAAGTCAAACACAGACAAGCCATCAACCAAAACAGACCTCTGCAGTAGTCAAGGTGCTCCCCTTTTTTGACCTGGAAAGAACCCCAAAAGACTTCCTTTGTCTGTCTAAAAAATTATATTTAGTCCAGGTAGATGCCATTATTAGTTAAAGAATAACATGGTCATATAAAAAACTTAATATAAACTTTAAAGGGATTACATCTACTTATGTATGTGATTTCTTTAGCACCTAAACATTTTGTTACTTTCCTAACCAAACATTTATTCTTATTGAAAATAATTTCATTTTATTGAAAATAGGAGAATATATTTAGAATTTTTAAGCAATTGTTTTAATCGCTTTGGCAGTAATAACCACTTGTGAGGGAGAGAATGTTTTAAAAGGAAAATAAGTAGAAAGTATTCTCAAATGTTCCTACCATCAAGCAATGCATTTGGTAGAAATACATGCAAAAATTGTTTTAGCCATTTAGACAAGTGTTAAGAATATGGACCTTAAACTGGGTGCTAGTGGCTCACACCTATAATCCTAGCTACTCAGGAGGCAGAGATCAGGAGGATTGAAGTTCAAAGCCAGTCCCAGGCAAACAGGGGGTGAGGAGGCTGGCGGAGTGGCTCAAGCAGTAAGAGTCTAGCAAGCGTGAGGCCCTGAATTCAAACCCTAAGGCCACCAAAAAGCAAAAAAAAAGAATGTGGATTTTCCAGCCAGACTGCCTGGCTTTGAACCACAGTTCCATAACTTAATAGTTGCATAAATTTGAGCATGGTTAATCTCTTTAGGTCTCAGCTTCTGAATTCTATTAAAATAGGGATAATAATGGAATCTACCTATGAGTCTGGGGCATGGCTCAAGTGGCAGAGTGCCTTACTAGCAAATGCCAGGCCCTGAGTCCAAAACCTCAGTACTACAAAAGAAAAAAAATCTATCTAATATGGTTGTTGTGAGGCATGCATGACAGCAGCTATTATTTTAACTAAAGAAATACATTTTTGTGGTACTAAGGATCAAACTCCAAAATACTCTTTCCAACCTTTTTCTTTATAGTTAGGACACCAAGAAAAGATTGAACTCTTTGTACTATAATAGTTATACTTACAGATGTAGTCTTAATAGGCTGAGTCTCCTCTTTTCCAGAGGGAGACTCTCCAAAATGTATGAGAATCAGTTATAACATCACACCTTTGGATTAGACAGAGGATGATATACATGGAGTGTCTACTATGCTCTAGGCACAGTGGCAGAATGATTTATATTGCTTCAAATAATAATCAGATGAGATATTAACATTACTTTACATAATACGTAAACTAAAATTCAGAGATAGTAATTTATCAAAAGTCACAAAGCTGATAGTGACAGAGCCAGTAATCAAGCTCCAAAGCACATGTTCTTTATCTTTCCTTCTGCCCAAAATATAACACTTTAATTTTACAAAAACCCCAGTTGCTGGATATCTTTAAAGGTATCTATATTATAAGATGGCAGCTTTGTCTTTTTATGTCCATAATTTTTATATATTGAGTGTACTAATAAAATTACTAATAATCTGCCTTAATCTTTGAAATAAACTAACCTAAGGAATATGAAAATTAATTGAAATGCTTCCGTTTCTCAATTATTGACTGTTTTTAAAATGTCAGACATTCATAAAAGTATATTACCAGCAAATATTTTTGTGTCATTAACTGTGCAACTTAAGTCATTAAAGTTTGCACGTAGAAAAAATTGAAATAATGGACAGAATTCTAGTTCAGATATAAATATAAAGGTTGACAGTTTCTGGATGATATAGGTTTTTAAAAACAACTGTAGTGATTTAAAAAGCCATATATTACTAGGATTGTCACATAAAATTCAAGCTATTGTCACTTCCAATACAGGTTATGCGAGCAGGTTTCTTCACTCGATCTTTTGGAAATTATTCAAAAATACAATTAAAATCTTTTGGATTTGAATAAAATACCTTCCATTTCCCAAGGTATTTGAAAGAATAAATATGCTGGGAAGTAAATTGAATCCAAATAGCCAAACAAGAAGCAGGGTCTGCAGGGTGTGCCAAAACTGAAAAAATGAAGGACTTTTTTTCCTGAAAATTAGGACTAAGGAAAACCTAGCCCCCTAGTGGCAGGATATGACCTAGTCAAGAAACACAGGTGTGGACTGGGGGCATGATTCAAGTGGTAGGGCACCTGATTAGCAAGTGAAAGGTCCTGAGTTCAATCCCCAGTAGTGAAGGAGAAAAGAGACACAAATTTTCATTCCATTAAGGTTTTGAAAATCAATGTTTCACTAAAAATAAATCAATGAAAGGGTTGCATTTATTTTTCAATATTTCAGTGACCTAACACATTTTGAATAGCTGTTAAAATAGTCTTTAAAATAAATTTGCTGGAGAAACAAACTACAATATGATGAAGGAGAATATGTTAATAAATAGTTGATAGATGATTTGGTATATAAGAAAACAGCAAAAACAGTGAATAGTCTATAAAGTGTCCAGTAACAAATGAATAGTAGAAAAGTACTTGAATGAAGAAAAGGACCTGAACAGATTACAATCCCAAAAGATTCCTCACTGACTATTTTCCTTACTAGTACAATCCTGCTTTGTGTAAGTCAATAAAATAGAACAACACAAGGTATTAGGAAGTATACCAAATAGGAAAACCTAGGTATAGATATACAACTATGTATTTAGGGTATGGCAAATTAATCTACTGTGCATTAACATTTATAAAACTGAGTTTATTACTATGGCCTAAGACACATTCATCATCATAATGATCTTTCAAGTGTCTTCATGAAGGCAGTATTCACTTAAGGCATTAAACTGCATCTAGAAGGAAAAAGTATGAGTAATGAACAGGAATCCATTTCAGATATAAATATAAGAATGGATAGCATTTAAAAACTTCTAAGTAATAAAATTCAGTTTCTGAAAGTATTGCCCTCAATACTTCAAGTTTGAACACTTTGAATTACTATGGAAGTATTTCAAATATGACCAAAATGTTTGGGATTTGAATCTACTTCAGGATAGTGCAGTGTTAATAGTAAAAAAATGCCCAATCCTATAAATGCTCAAAAGAAACAGTAAACTTAACAGTTTACTTAATTCCAGGATAAGTTACCAGAGCAACTAGAACTCCAGAATTTCATTTATGGTAAGATAAAGGAAAGATATTCTGGGCATACAGGTCTCTACTTACGATGGTTCAAGTTAAGATTTTTCAATAAATGGTACAAAAGTGATATGCAGTCAGTAGAAACCAAACTTCAAATGTTGATGTTTTCCTAAGCTTGTGTCATGTGGTTGCACACTCTTGAAATGCTGGGTGGCAGCATTGAGCCAGAGCTCCTGGTTAGCCACTGAATCACAAAGCTACACAACACATGTACTGTGTTGCTCAGCTATGGTAATTCACTATGTTAATTGGGTTAAATGTACTTTACATGATATTTTCAATTTATTATCACATAGCCTCATCATAAATAGAGATGCATCTGAATACCCAAAAGAAGTAAAAGTAGGCTTTTAAAAAGATATTTGTACATCATGTTCACAGTAGAAATATTCACAATAGAAAAGGTAGAAGCAATCCAGTGTCCTTCAACAAATAGGTGGATAAACAAAATGTGATACATACATACAACAGATTACTACTCAGCCTTTAAAAAAGTGAGAAATTATGATATTACAAAATGGATGAACCTGGAAGTCATTATACTAAAAACTGCCAGTCATCCAAGGATGAATGTTATGATTCTTCTCCTATGAGGATTTTAGAGTAGTCAAATTCATAGAAATACAAAGTAGATTAGAGATTACCAGGGACCGGGAGGAAGGAAGAATGAAAAGCTATTGCTTAATGAGTCTAGTTTCATTTGGGTGATAAAAGTTTTGGAAATAATAGTAATGGTTATGCAATATTGTGAATGTAATGAATGCCAGTGAATCATACATTGAAAATGGTTGAAATGATAAATTTATATATTAAATATTACATAACCCCAATTTGAAGTATTTAGAGTAGTCAAATTCATAGAGACAGAAAGTAGAATGGCGAGTTGCCAGGGGGTTGGAGAAGAGAGAATGAAGAGTTAAATGTTTAATAGGTACAGAGTTTAAGAGGAAGATGAAAAGTTCTGAAGATGAATGGTGGTAATGGTAAATGTATTTAATGCCACAGAAAATAGTTTAAATGGTAAGTTTATGTTACACATATTTTACTACAATAATAAAAGACAAATCTGATTGTGCTTTTGCTTTGTTTCTTCTGGCAAGGACAAGGAACTTCTTGGTGCCAAGTCCCTCTTTTCCGTAAGTACAAAATCAGATCTTTTCAGAAAGGCTAACAATCAATATAGGCTACTTAAGCTCTGGAAAACTCTTCTAACTCCATATTTTATATTTGTTTACATAATGTAGGACTGGAAACCTAAAGATAAAATCTTTAGAATTTAAATGTACTGGGCTGGGAATGTAGTTCAGTGGTTGAACACTTGCCTGGCATGCACAAAGCCCTGGGTTCCATCCCCAGTACAACAACAAAAAATCAAATGCACTTTAAAATAATAATATGAAACCCTTCCTTTTGCTCAAGGGCCAATTGAGAAAAAAATTAAATAATGATAGGATATATATTTTTAGCAAAAAAATAAAAATATGTGCAACCTGGGAGAAAAAAAAGAACATGTTTCTATAAATTAGTTTATTAGTCCCTTATAGTATTAATATCTAGTCTAATTTAAAAGACAAAGTTTAAAATATTTTATCATTTATATGCAAGTCGTGTTTCAAATTTTACAAAATCTATTTACATACATTAATTCATTTAATTCCTGACCCAAACTATTATGGCCACTTTAGAGAAAGGGAAGTTGAGGCTGAGCAGTGTGAAATAATCTACTAAAGGTCACATCAGATGATTAACTAAAAAGGTGGGATTAGAACTAATCCATTTCAGTTAGTATTATTTACCGAGGGCCCAC